AGCTCCGGCCAGACTGCCACCGTAGTGCCACCGAGCCACCACCGAGCTGCCACCGTACTGCCACCGTACTGCCACCGAACCGCCACCGAGCTGCCACCGAGCTGAGCTGCCACCGAGCTGCCACCGTACTGCCACCGAACTGAGCTGCCACCGAGCCGCCACCGAGCCGCTCCGTGGGGCACAGCAGGTGCCGAAGGGCGGAGGAGAAGCCGAGCAGCAGCGCCGGTTCAGCACCACAAAGCCGGGGCTGCTCCCGAGCGGGGCTGTGCAATGGGAGCGCGACTGGGACACCGCGGCCACCGCATCCCGCTGGAAAAAGCAGATTAAAGCCCGGGTTCGGGCAGGGAGGAAGAAAGCATCCTGTAATTCCCAGCCCGTGTGTGTGCAGCGGCACAGGGCAGCAGGACCCAAATCCCCACCCTGGGAGATGGGCACCCACAGCTTCGATGTGTCACCATGTGTGAGGTCCCTTGAATTTGGGCCTGTGTGCATCTTGCCGCAAAGAAACTCACGACAAACCCTTTTGTCACAGCTGTTCATGCAGGAGGAAGTAGCTACATATATAATATTAAAACACTCAAACACAGAACTACTTAATTATCAAACTTTAATTCGTAAGACTAATTTTACAGAATAAAACACCAGGATAACCAGTCGAGGTTACACTTAAAAAAATCCAGCAGTGCAAATCTAAGACTAAATATTTGTCATCTCCCTCCCCCCAAAATAGGCAATAGATTATTTAAAAATACCATAATACATGGTACTCACATAATCCATTTAAAATAAATCTGCAGTGGACACAAATATCTAAGTTTTTTTTTTTATTTTTAATATAAAACCAAAGAATTAATTGCTTTGAGTATGGATAAGACAGAGTGAACTTCCATGAGCTACCAAAGCGAATCCTTGGCTAGAAGGTCAAATGGCCACGTTTGATACAAGACTTGCTACGGCTCTCCTGGTCCCCCGCTCCCCTCCGGTGACAAGGACATTCACTAACAAAACAAGGGCTGCTGGACAGAACTGAGGGTGAAAACGGTGCCACCGGAGAAACCAAGTTACAAAGGAAGTGAAGGAAGGGAATTCTGGAAAGAAGGGCTGCAAGGATGGGAGCAGGAGCGCTGTGCTGTGGGGCAGGGGGTGCAGAGCACACCCCACCGTGGCACCTGGGCAGCGCAGCAGCACGGAATTGTTCCTCTTTGGCCCTTAGAGCACGGAGCAGTGGGCACCAGCAGCACGGAATTGTTCCTCTTTGGCCCTTAGAGCATGGAGCAGTGGGCACCAGCAGCACAGAATTGTTCCTCTTTGGCCCTTAGAGCATGGAGCAGTGGGCACCAGCAGTGTGGTGGTGGTGACAGTTTGTGATCCCCTTTGAATCCAGATCACTCTCTTCCATCACTAGAACATCCAGACTGTAGTTACACATTCCTCACCAATGTCATTAATGGAAATTAATAATTTACTTTAAACTTGGTATGAAACCATGTCAGTAACACAAGCTCTTCATGCAAGACAGTCTTTGCTGAAACCCCAACCAGGCTGAGAAACACTTCTGCATTCCCAACAAAGCAGTGATCCTGGGACTGCTTACACAGACAGAGGAAAGAGCACTGAACTTGGGACAAGGAGGAGAAAGCTGCAGTGCTGGGCACAGAGAGGGGGAAGGCATGGCACACGGCTGAGCTGTGATACTCAGAGTCATGGAACAAGGCAGGGAGCTGGGGATTGACAGGAAGAGTCCCAAGAGGCAGCAGGGAGGGGACACTGCCTGGGCTCTGGGAGCAGCCAACAGCAAACACCAGCTGTGTCCTGCAGGGACCTGCATTTGTCTCGTGAATACTTTAATCTGCAATTAGCAACCCCAGAAAGCACTCAGTGCAGCCTCATGTGGAGCAGCACCCCAGGGTGCTCCCAGGGAATCACACCTACACAGCAGGAAGCAGTGGCTACTGAGAGCACCCTGTAGAACTGTAATTTAACTGAAATTCACATCTCTGCAGCTCTTACTGGTAACCTCTCACAGAATATATGTCAGATCTCAGAATCATCTTTATCACAAGCCCCAAATACCGAGTGTTCTCACACTTCACTCACATATTGTGTCTCATTGAGCACCAAACTGCTCCCTGGGACCACTGGTTATGCTGAGGCTGTCTTGGGATGGTCACAGTGACCAGAGAACAAAATCCACAGCCAAAAGAGAGGCAAGCAATGGCTGTGAACCAACTGTGGCACTATCCCACTAAAAATGGAGGGTTTCTTAATGTCAATAGCTGCCTTGGAAAAGCTGGTGTATGCCAGAACATAAAAAAACTCCACATCATTCCCAAAGAGAAAGGATCTTAAAGGCAGTGCTGCTAAATTTCAACTACAATATTAATTTCAAAGAGGTCCCAAGAAGCCTGGGGTATTGAGCCAACAAACACCAACCAAAGCATTTATAAGCCACTTTCCTGTATTTTAATTCAAATTTTGCACATAGAACAAAAAAATAAGACAATTTCATTTTTCTAATCAAATCCAACCTGCAAGGAAGGACCCAAACAGGATCACATCTTCTTAGTGTACAGTATTTTCTTCATGTTTAAAATTGCTTTGTATGTAACCAAGGGGTTTGTGCTGAGTCTCTTTGGAGCTGCTGGGCTCCTGGCCCAGGAGAGAGCAGCTGTGCCCCTCTGGCACGGAGTGTGACACTGCCCTGTGCCCCAGGGGCATCAGCAGTGGTCAGTGCCTGTCCCCATCGCCCCAGAGTTACTCACCCGGTCACTGTGTCCTGCACAGAAGCCACAGGAGCTGGGCAGGAGCTGGAACTCGGGCCCGTGCCCTCCCCAGGAGCAAAGGGGTGAAGGAACAGGAAAGGAAACATGAACAGATGCACAGAGAGGTCTGAGAATGTTGAGGAACAAATGGCAGCTGATCATCACAGAACCAGCAAGGTGGCAAGTGCCAACGTGTCCCAGGTGACAGAAAGGGCCAGTGTCACCCCTTTGTTTATCCTGTAGTGCCCACACCTTCCACCAGGCAACAAATTCATCTAAGCCTTAACACCAGGACTGACAAGCAGGAAATCACAAGTGTGATGGCTGCATTTCATCCATGACATTGCCACCAGTAAAGTCAGGCCAGCTCCTCTCTGTCCCCACTGCTCCAAGGGACTGCCAAGGGAGCTGCCACGGCTCTCCTGGCCCCAGCCACGCATGTCAGGACACACTGCTGCTGGCTTGCACACAGAAAGGAAATACCTCAAGCTACAAGAGTAACAAGCACATCACTAGTTTCTATGTAGGATATGAAACACCTTTAAAACTCATATTGTGTGGCTGTTCTAACAGAAAATAGAAACTGAAACTGTTATCCAGAGGCTACAGGGAAATCTGTGACCTCAACACCTACCAGAAAGCCAATGTGTTTTCCAGTCTCTTAAGTAAAATAAAAATAAAATAAATACTAATTTGGGAATTTGCACCTGCTATGCTTCAACTGGGCTCTTCCCTCAAGGAGAGGGAAGAGTGGACATGGAACATATTCAGATTAGCTGCTCCTACAAGGCTGTTCCTGCATGGGTCTGAGCTACTGGCACGGAGCAGCACGGAGCCCCAGCACTAATGCAGAGCAGGATGTGTGAGCTGCTCCAGTCTGGCTGCACAAAGTCCTGCTATGGGCTTTGCACCTGTCAGGGCTGAGGGCTCCGTTCAGAGCACCTGAGAGAAATGGCACACGGATGGCTGGGATGACACACAGAGCATCACAGCCCACGGCACAGCACGTTCCTTCTGACAGAATGAGCTGTGAGGGCTTCTCGTGAACTGGAACAGGAGAAAAGCTGCAAGGTGGTTTACATTTCAAAACATCACTTGCTGCATGGTTAATCTAAAGTACGATTCACTGAATTCAAGATCGCTACGAATTTTCAAATCCAGCTCACAGAAGACTGCTGCTGCTGCTAAGAATCCAAAGCAGCATCTCAGCTTCTCTCTCCCTTACTGCCCCCACCCCAAACAGGGCAGGAAAGTCTCTGTGGCTCCCCTGCTTTGGGAGATCTGTGTCACCCCGCTCCCACCAGGCAGCGTCCCGGTGTTCCCATCCATGTCCATGTCACTGTGTCCCCTGCTCACACCAGGCAGCACAGCCGTGTTTCCAGTCCAACAGCTCAGTGTCAACACAGAGGCTGCAGAATGATCCTGGGCTGCAACATCACGAGCAAGAAAACGCTCCCCAGATGCAGCAGCCCAGGGCAGGAGGTGAAGCACTGACCGGGCATGAGGGGGAGCAGCTGGCAGCACCAGGGCACCTGCCGTGACAAAACACGCAGAATTCACCTGCTCCAAACGCGCCACACAGACCAACCTGGAGCTGCCAGATCGGGAAAGGCCAGGAAAAATCCCAAACAAGCAGGGCATCTTTGGGTTAAAACAAAGAATTAGTTCTGCTACCAAGGAGTGGAAGCTGCCATGAGGGCCAGCAGGATATGGCTTCACCGAACAGCGCCGCTGCGCACTGCTACAGTTTATTCCTAAAAATCTGCTCCTCAAAGTCCCAGTCACAACCAAGTAACTAAACTAAGTCTAATGCTGATAACTGAGAGATTATGAAAATATTCGGTTTTGTTCAAACCATGTAAAAAATCCTCAATAATACATTGTAATATTTTCTTTTGAAAACTAAACTGGAAGATCAACTCTCAGCAGATTTAAGTGTATTACACACGATATTTTGTGAATTAAGGTTTATTGATTTCCATTGTATTTGCTTTAAATATGGTTGAAGCTGACTGCAGAAAAGGGATGGTGAAATCTTTAAGTTAAAAGTAAACTAATGGTGAAAGAACATCACCTCTGGCTTCCATCCATGCCTCGTTTAGCATGTTTTAATAATAAGTTCCAGGACTGTCACATCCAGGGATGTTGGAGGCCTCTCCCAGCAGTGTCCTTAGATTTGTGTCATTTTCCTGTGCCAGAGGTGAGCGTGCTTTCAAAAATACTGCCACTTCCCCAGCACCGTGTCTTTGATTGCATCGACATACTGAGTTGGGACCCAATAGACCCAGTAGTAAGATGCTTCTGTTGGGCCCAGCTGAAATGCCTGCAATTAAAAATGACAACATTTACACTTGGGAACAAAGAGCTGGTCCCAGTGGACAGGCACAGCTCATCCACTGCCAAACCAGACCAGCCTGTCCCACTTGCTGCTCCCTGCAGCACCTGGGGCACACCACACTCTTTTGGGCAATTAAAGGAGCACATCAGAGAACAAGAGCTGCAGAGCACTGACAAAGCTGTGAGCTCTTCCCTTTTACAACACCACAGCAAAAACCAAAACTCCTGGCCAGTTTCAGAACATGAGGAAATTATTCTGGTAGACAACCTGAAGCATAACTCAGAGTTTCTGTAGAAATGACAGAGCTGAGAAGCCAAACAGGAACTAAACAAGACAATGACCATGCTTTTATAGTAATAGGATTTTATATTTGGACATAATGTACTATTCTCAACTTCTCTCCTATGATGCCCAGGAGAGGAGCACCAGGGCCTGCCAGAGCCTCCACCCTTGCTGTGGGGTAAGTTTATTGCAACATGTGCTGAAGAGGACCTCTTCTCACACGGATGATTGAAAATCAAACACTGGGACAGAGACTAGAGCAGCAGCTTCCTGCAGGCCATGACTTTAAGGAAAAACATTTCCCTTTCCTCCCCCTAAAGAAGGAAATAGACTTCTTATAGAAAACAAACTTCTTCAACATCAAAAGTTAGTTACTGTACTTTGAAAAGCAGGATCTTAATAAAAACCCATGGATTAAAATAAACAGCCAAAATTTCAGTACATTAGCACAGTTCTCTTCTGAAATATAACTCTGCTAGATACCAGGTGAGTTGTTCAGAAAATTACAGGTGTGAAAAGATATGACAGCATCAAATCCTTTTTTCCCCTTAACCTTCACCAAGGCCTGTTGTTCATACAAATACCACAGAATCTAGAAATTAAACCAGATATCAAAAAATACCACTCCCATTAAGAAATCATGAGCTATGCTGTGAGTATGTTTAATGCTTAAGCACTTCATGTTTGTGTGAAACAGTCTGGACTTCCACACAGCTGCAGATATTCAATGTGGACCCAAAATATTGACAGTGTGAGAGGAGCCCATGTCCTCATCTCCACAAGGCTGGAAGCACCATCCACCTCCAGCCTGCTCTGACCTGCAGCCTCAGCAGTGTGCATGAAGGAATTAGATGAATATGATTAAAGTAGAGCTGTTACTCACCATCATGTGATAATCCTCATGGCCTTCAATAGGTTCACTCACCACATTTTTAATGGACCCCATGGGTAACTTTTCTGTTCTCTCTACATTAAAATTGATCAAAGTATTATTTCTGACATGCGGGGAAGCAGTATTTCATATTCATTTCATACACCACCTCCATTAATGCCAAAATCTCCTCAGGTCAACAGTGTCCCCTCCAGGTGAGTTTTGGATACCTGCTGCCCAGGACGTGGTGGCTGCAGCACCACACCCCACACACACCCACAGCTGGCACCTCAGCAGTGAGAAGGAATCCAAAACTGGATCACACAGTTCCCCTGCATCACATGAAGTATCTCTGTGTTCAGTATTTGGGCCTGGACTAAGGGATGAGAAATCCCAGGCTTCACTTCATGTTTTCCCAAAACAAACTCTCCTTGGAGCAGCAGGGATTCTCATCCTATGGATTCTAGTCCAGGTATGAGAATATTCAGGACTGACTACCAAGAATTACACTGGACTCTCAACAGCAAGTCTGAAAGCTGGCAAAGATCATTAAACTCTGAAAGCTTAGGCCAGGCTTTACCCTGAGGCAGTGTGCAGAGAAGCACAGGGAAGGGAATATGGAAGAGAAAATAGGGAAAGAAACAAATAAGAGAAACTGAAGCCCCCAGATTACAATTCCACAGCAGAGTAACATCAGCCAGCCAGAGGCAATGACAAGAGTGACAAAGTACATGGTCCAGGGCAGTTTTCCTGTCAGCTCTGTCCTCACTCCTTTCTGAAGACTTAATTCCAAGGTCCTGCCTTTCAGTTCAAGCATCCAGCATCAGCCAAAAATCACCTTCTTGGATAAAAGACAGAGAATACCCAAAACACTGCACAAAGGAGAAAGTGAACTCTGAGTTCTTGAGACAGAGCTATTTAATTTGTGATCCAAAAATTCTCAGACCTACCTACAGAAAGCACACAGGGAGATGAAATCAGTGACATAAGGAAAGATATTCTCTGCCTCTAACCAAGCTCACTCTGAACTACCTGTTCAGACCTGTGACTTCATTCATGAGGTAAAACCCCACTTTGCCCTTGTTTAGCATCCCCCAAACCAATTTCTGCTCTGAGCACCCCAGCAGCAGACAAATCCCATTATCCATGCCTCTGTGCAACTGAGGAACAGCTGCCTGTACCAAACTTCAGGCTGCAAATACCTGCACAAACCCCTGTGAAGCCCAGGGGGGCTGCAGGGCTGGGGGTAAGAACCAGGGCCAGCAAGTGACAAGCTGTGTGAACACCCAGATGTGATTACTCCAGCCCTTCCCTGCTGGCCTCTGTCATGGGCTTTTCAGAGTAGGAAGGAGCTTTTCCCAGTAACAGCCAGTAATTACAGCCATTGCCTAGAGGCAGCAAGCTGCTGCTAACTCAGGGAAGTAGGGAAACAGGTCACAGGAAACACATGACTACAAGAAGAATCAAATTCACAGCTTAAGCAACACCATGTAGAACACCTCAGAAACACTGTACTTGAAAACTCACCTGGGGGGTGATGGAAGAGATTAATCACCTAAATACTAAGCATGGATTTAGAACCTGGGTACTGGATCAGTAACAGAAAAATCTGCCTGCCAAACCTAGAGTTCACAACACCCCCCAATGCCTTGCTCCATCACTTCACCCAGGACAGAAATCACTGCAACTGGCACCATTAGAGATTTTAAAGCCAGAAAAAAACCTTCACAGTCAAGCCTGTCCTACAAAGAAAGGATCAAGAACTTTTGAGATTTCTGCTTACTTTGGAACTACTGTAGCAGCTGGAGGCAGTACAACCACCCAGTTAGGCTGCTTTACTGGGACAGTGGGCAAGCACTTGCATCCCTCTTGCTCATCACTGTATCTTGCCCACCCCAGTCAAACTGAAGGAGCACAGCTTCCCTGGCCCGTGGGGGGATCCTGGTGTCCTGTTTAGCTCCAGCCAGAAATTAAGCACCACCATACAGAAATTAAGCACCACTCACTCCCTCTGCCATGCTGGGATGGGGAGGAGAACCAGGGAAAAAAAAGTAAAAAACTCATGAGCTAAGAACAGTTTAGTAACTGAAACAAAATAAAATATACTACTACTGCTAATGGTAATAATAGTAGTAAAAAAAATAAAAAAAGAAACTCCAGAGAAACCAGTGATGCCCAGTACAGCTGCTCTCCACTGCTGACCAGTGGAGAGCAGCACTAAACCTAACTCTAACAGCTAACTAAACCAGCCTGTCCCCCCTTTCAGTGACCAGTCCCTCCCAGCAAACTGCCCCCAGTTTACACTGGACATGATGCTTTATGGTGGGAAATATTCCTTTGGCCAGCTCTGGTCAGCTGTCCTGGCTGTCCCTCCCATCTCCTTGCATGCCTCCTCACAGGCAGAGTCTGAGACACCAAACAGTCCTTGACTGAGGGAAGCACTGCACAGCAACAATCAAAACATCCACAGTTATCAGCATTGCTCCCATCCCAAACCCAAAACAACTCCTGGGAAGAAAACTAACTCTGTCCCAGCCAAAACCAGGACACAGACATCCTCAGCAAGCCACAATATCCCCATGTCATTCCCAGCTCCTCCTGGCACCACTCACATCTGCAAACCAACCCCTCTGCACAGCACCACAGTTGTGCATTACTGAGACAAGACACCCACAGAATTTCAGCTGGAAAGACAGAGAGTGCCAGAGATGCCAACATTCCCAGTTTCTATCCCAGTTCTGAGATTTCCTTCCAAGTCCTGGCTAAGCCATTGGGCCCCCATGTAGTGCTGGCATCAAACCCATGCTGCTTATGGAGTACTTTGAGATATGCCAGAAATGCCCAACACTATAATTCACACTTGGAGCCAGCAACAGCACATTGGACCATTTGTCTGCTGACAGCACTGAACTCCAGTTTTTCAGGAACCCACATGCAGTATCAAGTACTACTCACTGACCTAGGAAAATGGCACATGAGAAAAGGAAACAGTTTTTTGAAGTGCTGCAATACCAGCATCACTCCCTAAACACAATTTAGTCAGAGGAGAAGCTTTTCTAGGTCACACAGAGTTCAGTCACAGCCCAATCAGCAGTTGTTCATCCCTGACATTGAGAGGTGCTCACCTTTTGTACCAATCCACAGCTGGTCTTGCTCGAGTTTGAAGGTCAGTCTGACTTTTCCCCCTGACTTGTTGTACATGCCGGACAGCGGCACCGTGGGCAGCCGCTCCTGCAACGAGACACAGCCGGTCACAGGCAGGGCTGGGGCACAAAAGCTACATGCTCTCAACTTTTAAAGCATAAGGACCATCATTCCTGCCAACTTTCTGCTAGGACAGCAAGGAATGACTGAACCAGTGGGGAAAGGTCTCAAACCACAGAGGAGTCTCTTCTCTTCCCTGAGTGTCTCGTGACCTTACGCACCTGCACACCTTTGACAGAAGGCATCACATCGTCAGGTTTTCCTTTATCCAACACTTTTCTGTGTTGCTACAACATAAAAACAGAAATTAAATTCACAGGCACATTATGAAGCTTTGCAGTGTATGTCCAGCTGCCCCCTGAACACGTCCCAGTGGCACTGAGACAGCTGAGGGCTGTTCACAGGCACTTCTCACATGGGCATGAGTTACTTTCAAACTTAATTGTGCACTTTCTAAGACCTCTCGAGAAATTATCAAAATGTATGTAACTCCAACATAATTCCAAGGATTAACAGCCTTCTCAAATACACACACACATAAATACATATCTATAAACACCAGTGTTAGATCCATTGAGTGGCAGAAACCCTCACATCTGGCAGAGCAACCCAGCACCAAACCAGAACAGATCAGAGCACTGCTCATTTCAAACCCACACTCACAGCTTGTACCTGGCTGAGCACTTTAAGAAATGATGGCACGTACCTTGAGTGTGAACCATGATAAATCACAGAAAACCATCAGCATGCTGCATGGAGGCACTACTTAATTTTAACCAAGTTTATTTTGAGGAGAGTACAGGGCTGGTAATACCTTGAGCTGGCAAGCCTTCATCAGCCCCCCACACTGCAGGACCACCAAGCCAGTCTCACTGCACTGTGCTACAAAAAGTGAGAGGAGAATTCAACACCCACATCCCCGCAGGGCTGGGACAGCTGAGGGAACTGCTCTCTTGGCGTTAGTTTTAAGCAATTTTTGGAAGTCAAATTCTTTTGTGCCAGTAAAAATGAGTTAGGTTTTAGACAGAGTTAAACTGGGCTGGGTTTGCATCAACATTCATCAAACATTTCCATTTCTAAATCAAAATGCTTTCCTGTGCCTGGCACCACAAGCAGTGTCCCTGCTGGACTAAACTCTGCTACTCTGCTGCCCAGAGTCATTCCAGTGCTGAGCTGTCAGAAATGAACCCCCAACCCGATCTCAGGAGGAACAGGACCCAGAAGTGCCTGCAGGAGAACCATGCAAATCCTCCTGCTCCCCCGCACCAGCAATTATTGAGACATTAATTACCTTTTGTCTGCAAAGTGGCTCCTTCTTGTTTTCCTCAGCTTTGACCTCCTGTTGAGCAGCTTCTTTGGGTGTATTTACTGCTAACACATCGTTGATAGTAGAGCCCACAACCATTATCTTGGCTCCATTTGTTACTTTGATTTCTCGCAATGTTTTCTCCTCTGGCAGAAGTCCCTTGAACATAACTTTCTGCATGGCCGGCGGGAGGCCTAGAGACAAGCAGAGCGATTAGGAGCCGGCGGCGAGGGAGGCGCGGGGGAGGCGGCGGCGATCCCGACAGACCTGTGAGCGAGTGGATCTTCTGCTTCAGCTCGGCTCCCGTGCTGTCCAGGCAGAACTTCACGTCGTACTTGTTCTTGTTCCAGATCACCTTCAGCTCCACCAGCTCCCTCCCGCTGTCCTCGTCGCCGCCGTTGCTGACAGACGCCTGCGGGGGCTCCGGGCG